GGCTCAATGTTCTTTCATCACAAGCAACTTCCAGAACGCTTCCAGCCATTTGACAATCAATCAATATGAGTAGGGTTCCAACTTATAACTGTCATCAATCATCCCTTTGTGTGCTGGGATTGACTCAATTGCTGATATAAACTGCTGAGCTCCTTTGATCAGCCACTCAAAAAAAAAAAACTCCAGATTCCAGGGACTGCTTTTGTTCAATGTCGTGCGCAAAACCACTTCCATGAAACAGCGATCGTAGTGACCATCTTGGACTCTTCGGCCCTTGGACCCTTCGGATGTTATCTTTAGCATGCATGGCTTGGCGCATGGCTTGGTGCAACAAGGTTCGCTACGTTCGGGGCTCCTGGCATCGCTACTAGGAAACAAGAAGCTGCGAACGGGGCTCCTGGCCATACTGCTAGGAACCAGGATGCTACTAGGTGCATGGCTTGGCGCCATGATAGATTGGCCTCTCAGCCCACACGAGCGACGCAGAAAACTCACCTCTCACAGCAGACCCGCCTGTCCGGCGACCCCCGGCGAAGACGCTGGAAAGCCATGCCATGGCCACGGTGCCTTACCAGGTGGGTTGTGGGTGCCTGCCGAATCTGTGGGATCTAATAGCTTCTTGTTACTAATAGAAAAAGTGTTTTGTGATGGTTGCGTTCCCAGATTTTGTTGATTCCATAAAACGGCAATTCTTTGCTACTGTGCAATGAAGCAGTCTTGAACTAGTTACTAGTCCCCCCAAAGGGATTTCGTGTAGGAGCGGAAGTCGTGCACAGTCCCTGGTTCGTGGTGTGTCTCCTTTTTCAAAAAGCCTGGGTTGTACCCAGATGTTTTGGCAGCAGTTTTGCTCAATTTTGCTCATATAGTTTCAACATGTTTCATAGTGACATAGTGTTTCACATTGTACTACTACCACAAACGCAAGGTGGTCATTCTTCCTTCTGGTTGAACCCGGGAAATCTACTTGTAATCAAGTGGCTTTGGGCTGTCCATAGAGGCTGCGTTCTCGAAAACCGGGTGCACGGAGTTGCGGGACGGACGCAGACGGAGCTGCTGCAGCTGCTGCGGCACCGCGAGTCGGAGTTGGCCAAGCTTCGAGAGGAGCGACAGCACAAGGCACGACGGGCACGACGTCCTCCCGTCGGATGACGTCGGGTGGGAGTCGTGAAGATGGGTGAATGAAGGTGACTGGTGAGTCTGATGATTTGAAGCTGGTTAGTTAGTTGGCTGCTGACCTGTGAAGCACGGTTGCTGATAGCACGAAGTGTTGTTGCTTATGGCAGCAGACCTGCATGCTCAGCTTCCAGGACACAACGATCGACTTCCTCAAGACCAAGATTGCCTCTTGACCTATCAATGGGCCACGGCCATTGCTAACGAGCAGATCTCAAACTTGGGCCAAGCTGACTTCAACATGGACCAACAAGGCGAACATTGCCCAGAAATACTGTAAGGTGTTCATAACGGGTTCAATGAATCAATCCGACGCACCATTCTGATAATCTGATATTGTCCCCGTGCGGGGGCAGTGTGCATTTCGTCGCGGAGCGACATGAATATGATCGAATATGTAATAAGTTATGAAGTTGCAAAAGTGAGAAGGTTTGAGACCGAAAGTAGAGTCGCAAACACCCTCGGCGAGACCTCAGCCGCGCCCCCAAAAGCGGCCCGGCGACCCTGGCGCACACCCAGGTCACCCTGCAGAACCAGAACCGAGCCGCCCTTAGTGAGCGCCCCTCCGAGGCGGAGGTGTGGACCCATGGTGTCGGTGTTGCATGGTTTTCTCAGAGCGCGCAGCGATGCACAGAAGCAGGAGAATGATGGGAGAACATGCAATGTTTTTTTGCATTCTACTCCACATAGCAGAAACTGCCAGAGGAATTTGAATGAGACTGTTGATCAATGGAGCAAACCTGCATAGGCCCTCAGTGATTCGGTGATCAACCTTTTGCAAGACTAAATCTTGGTCACCCTCTCAGAAAGATAGCCTTGCTTGAGTTTTGTGTGCGAGCATGCATAGATGAATTATCTCTTCTGGCATTCCGGGGCTGCTCCCCTGCCTGGAGCAACGAACTGCAGGTGCTACAGGAGCGACTGGAGGCTGCCTTGGCCTCCAAGGAGCAAGCGCTCAGGCGCCAAGAGGAGTGAGTCACTGATGCTTCTGTGAGAATGGGATGGGATGCTCTGCAGCAGAAGAGAAATCCAGCCTAGGAAGGTGGACGAAGGCCAGAAGGTCCCGAAAAACATATTAGCAATGGTGAGCAGACCTTGTTACCTGGGGGGGTTCCATGGTCTTTCTCTCCCAGAAGATCCATGAGAACATATTACCTAATTTACGTATATGAAATCCGATTCGCAATATGCACGACATATCGGATGGATCTCGTAGATAAATATCACATCATATAATAATCCGATATGTCGTGGTAATAGATAATAGCACATCATTTTGGATCACATGTTGAATGCTACCTCGTTCATCTCCGAACATCGCATGGACACCTTCATCACGGCCACCCTCGGAGACAACGGCGTTGGCTCGGGACACCGCGTCCGTGGACACCGGTTGCGACGCATCGGACCGCAGGAGCTCGCTGTGCAGCTCCAGCACTGGACTTTGGAGGTGGATGACTTGCGACAAGAGCTTAAGCAGGCACCGTTTTTTCGGGGAAGAGCTGGTGGTGAGGGCCGGGATGGTGGTTGACACCTGTGGAGGCACCAGTTGAGTGAACAGATCAACGCCGGAGGAGGCACGCCCACGGCACTGGATGGGCATTATGGGTCGATTGAAGCACAGTGGTTTTGAAGCGATTACTTATTTGGAATTGGAATCGCGGTCATCACAGTGAAGCACGGATTTGTTGAAGAAAATGTGTACAATGGTAACAACATGTAACACCAATCCCCTTGATCAAGCAGTGACACGGGGAACCTTTTGAGCCTCTTTGGATATGCAGGGTTTGCAAACACGAGGGAGGACAGATTCCAGTTGATCCAGTTTGCTCGTAGGGGGGCAATCCATGGCCCCATTTGTACAACCTGGCGTTTCACTTGTAATATGTTCTGGTGTCACAACTCAGAGACAAGTTTCATCAACTCGTTTGTCATTGCTTCGCAACAAAACTCATAGACACACGCGTGGATGCAACCAACATGCTTAACGTGTTTAAACTGTTTTAACACCAGGTTCCTCAAACAATGCTTGCAAGAATGCAGCCTGGTGGTGGTTCCATTTTGGTTCACAATGCTTCCTTTTGTCGACTCCGGAGGCCAGGGCAGAGATTGCGCGCTTGGAGGCCGAACTTGAGAAGCTCGGCGAGACACGTGGAGACTGCTGATGCAGCTTAACGCCGCGAGCAGCGTTGAGCATTGAGGCCACTTAGGCGTTGAAACCGTTCAGTGAACCGTTTGGAGACTGGTCCTCACGGCCTCACGTCACCAGAACAGCATAGGACAGGCATCGGACGTGGCATCGACAGCATCGTGTCGTGACCGTTTTTCCAAGGAAGGCACAGCTGGTCAATCAAGACCACAACGGTGTAGCGCTCAGCATGGGGGAGGGAGGGATTACCAGGTGACCAGGTTCTATGTGTTTCGGTTTGTGGATCGATGTGGGCTTGTGTCAGCCTACCAACTAGTGAGGTTTCTTGACGTTCCCGAGTTTGGTATCACTGTATCACAACATATTGGACCAGGCTCGTGTGGCATGCGACCTGACGGTCTGACGCATATTTGCCGACATGGTATGTTAAAGTTAGTAGCGTCCTTGCTCCTAGTAGAAATGCCCTTTGTTACGATGCCACTGTTCCTAGTAGCTTCTGGTTACTAGTAAGGCCAGGGGGTCCAAGTATCCACAGTCTTGCTGATCAGCCTTTCTGAAACCATCCAGGTGTGCAGAAGGAGAGCGTCCTCATGGCTGTAGAAGAGCTGGAAAGGGAGCTTGCCCAGGCAGCGCAAGATACGGTGGTTTGAGGGTTGCTGGCAATTGATTAAATTTGTTTGATACTTTGGCCTTGCTAGCAGCTAGCATTTGTGAACAAACACACGGAAGCGTAACAAAATACATCTCCAGTGAGAAGGGTTTTGATCCAAGTCACCCGCCGACTGGAGTGCTCGTAGAATGCTGAGTTCCCTGGAAAGCAGGCCAACGAAACAAGATGAAACAAGGATAAACAAGGTATACTGTGTGCCATCGCTTCACCAATTTGTTTTTGCTCATTTGCATCGGTAGGTGCATGTTACATGTTGATTTGCCCCGATAGAGGTAGAAAGGTACACCAGACTGCTGTGGGAGTTGGACTGTCTGAAGAAGTCAAGTCAAATGTGTTTTCATCCTGTGACATTTGTGAAGTACTTTAGTGCCATCAGTGCCTTGTCGAGGATGTGAGCAAAGACGAGGTTCTTCCCCGGATGCTGCCATGCATGTTTGGCGCCGGGTGTGACACGAGTTGAACATGCCCGAAATGGAGGACCTATCAGGGAGAATCCTACCCAGGTTGAAAAACTGGGGAGGTTCCAAGTGTAATGGGTGTGAATGGATCATAGAGGTATTTGGTATTCATCATCCCTTGGCGTAGAGGTCAGATGGTTCCTGCTGAGCTATTGCTGATTAGACTTCGCACCAAGGGGTAGGAGCTGTCTAGAACTGTCCTCGTGGGAAAAATTTGGAGCAACATTCTTTGCTGTCAATGCGCCAGATTGCCGGCCATCCAGCTGACCACGTGTGCAAACCTAGCCATTTATGCACATGGAGCAGGTGTCCAATCTCTAGCTTGAGGCCTGCAGCGACTCCCCACCTCTCAGGACGAGACAAGCAGTACAGACAGAGTTGGATAGAATCGGCATCAGTACTGTCAGTAGTGTTTCTGTGCAAGAATGCTGCACAGCTCACCCGATCTGTCCACCTGAACCACCTTCACCTCTATACCCACGATACCCACCCAACCCACTGACCCACCTACCCACTCACCTACCTACTCAATCACTGACCTTCCTTTTCCGCACCTCTTTGGTGTGGTGAGATGGACAGCTCGGACCGAAGCCACGCGTGGCACGGCAGTCGCACGGGCCGTGCGTGGCAGCTTGGCGCGCATGGCGAACCACGGGGCGCCCGAGCCGTGTGGGTGCTCCTCAGCTTGGCCACTCGGCATATCAGATTGCTCATCTCGAGGAGATCCTTCACGATGAGATCCTGGGGCAGGTCGGGAGTTCCTCAGTTGCGCCAACGTTGGTTGGTAAGTGACTACTGTAATAGTGACTAAGTGCCAACGTTTCGGAGTATGGGCCTTGGGTTTTGATACGTTATGAACATGCCCACCTTGAGGGAAACCAAGTTCATTGGTTTGGGCGTCGGGTGAGTACTCAGTCGTCCATCGTAAACTTGTGGCTGAGGAAATGGTGTGATATTGATATTATATGATATTATTGATCTTGCTTGTAGTGGCGGTTCCAATACTTTGTTTCGATGCCGTGCTTAGTTCTTTCTGGTTGTACAAGACAAGCCCTCCTCCCGACTACTAGCATGGACGCTGCCCTCGTGGAGGGACATGGTGTTCGGATTGCCCTTTGTGCTTTATGTTCAACCGAGACATTTGCAAACAAGTTGGTCCTTGGTCGGGTCTTGGACAGGTCATCGGTATTCAGATGTTAATCATAAATTGATAAACCTTCCTTTCTATCCTTTCTCGGAACCTTGTGAGGATGTTTGGAGATAAGTCAAAAGTATTCCGTGAAGTTGGTGTTGGTGCTCAAGTTATTTCAGACAACTGCTTCCCAGCAAAACTGCAAGCACCATGAAGAACTAGCTGGACCACAAACACCCTTGAGGCAGTGGTGAGAATAGCGTATATTTGGGGTTCTTGGGGTTCAAGGAGTGCACACGTTGCTTGGGGGAGGGTTCTGAGACCTCACAAGGACATGATGTGACGCGTTGGTACTTGCATGCAAATCGGTTTGTGATCGGCTGCGCTGTGAAGTGGAACATCGTGAAGAAAGTAGATCCCTGCTGCTGTGGGGGTTCCCCCATACTGTAGACACCCTGTGAACGTGTGTGATTGGACAGCCAGATCATTCCTCCGCCTTGGACGGTTTTGCGATCCAGTCCACAGAGACCTTGGCCTTGGGATCGACACTTGATCAACCAAGGTGTTCCTTTGGGATGCGAGGCCGAGAACCTGCTGGGTGTGTGGCTATGGAGTGACCGTTTTGCTCCTAGAGGATTCAATCGTCAATCGTGGTTGTTCATATCCGCTTGTTGCCTGGTTTTGTTCATCATGTTGAATCTACGGATCCTTCTTTGTGCTTAAGCGTTCCACTTGCCAGCACAAGCAACTTATTTGTGCTCAGCAGGAGAAACACAGTTTAGCATATCATGGCAGTCATCCTACAGAATCTAGTAGCACGATGTTCATGGACAGTAGGTGGCGCCAGAAATGCGCAAGGTTCACCCAACCCCCAGGTGACCTAAATGATCCAACATTCCACTGTACAGAGGCCCTGAGCACAGACCCCGCATGATCGAGATTGAATGGGAGCATTTTCAACGTGACCTCGCGAGGGTAGGCGGTCTGGGCGGCTTTGAGTCACATTCAAGATCCAATTGAAGGAATACAATAACTACTGCAATGCATCATCATCATCATCATCATCATCATCATCATCATCATCATCATCA